GATGCCTATATATTTATGGGAGGAAACTTTTTCAAGTGGAGGGTCCACCAGAGTTCACTGGAAGACTAAAAAGTTTAGTTAGTTTTCTTAATAATGAAGAGTGAATAATGAACAGTGAATTATTTCATACCACTTCAATAATCAATCCATACAATGCTGAAGAATACCAGGATCATATTTAGTACCTTGCAAATACGAAAGTGTAGTATCATCTGAAAACTTTAATATAAATGTATTTGGAACATTAGTTTTACAATCATCTGTAGGAGAGGTGAGCTCACACAACCCTAGGATGCTCCTGAGTTAGGAAAAAAGTCTGGTTTAGAATAGAATAGAACAGGAATTTTTAGAAAATGAAATGGGAGAGAAGTAGTAAGAGTAACATAGACAAGAAAATAGTAGAAAATAATAGCATTAAGCATAATAGAATAGGATGGAAATCCTAAGTAACAGCCTCAGTAGTGAAAACTTGCCTTGTCCTGATGTAGGTTAAAAAAAGTCTGTTACACTCAGTGAACTCAGCGAACTGCTACATATTCAAATGTTTAAGCAAAAGTAAAAGGCTGGTGAAAACAAACTCTAACATCAGATTCAGGCTTATTACAGTGTATCCCTTCTCTTCTGTCTTAGTACTTTGTGTGTGTTTACAGAGCAGGGAGGGGATGTAAATGGTAAATGGACCTGTACTTGATATAGCGCCTTTCGAGTCTTCGACCACTCAAAGCGCTTTTACACTACGTGCCACATTCACCCTTTCACACAAATTCACACAGCGATGACAAAAGTCTATCATACAAGCATTTTACACACTGATGCTATGCATCAGGAGCAAAATTTTGGGGTTCAGTATCGTTGCTCAAGATACTTCGACACATGCCCAAGGGGAGGAGCGGGGGGACCGAACACAAAAACCTTCTATTGGGGGACGACCCGCATCTACTTTCTGAGCCACAGCTGCCACTGATGTGAACATACACTGGTTGTGTGGGTTGAGGCCGCAGCTATTTTTAGCAGGAAGTATTGTTATCCCTGTCCTGTGGTATCAAGGACCTCTTGTGGTCAGGTGAACACTGTCTATGGTCTAGCTGTAAATCTTTTAGGGACGTGGTCAATGGATGATTGGCACTTCATCTTTCCAACAGTCAGTGTAGGTTTCTTGGCAGCTTGGCAGGTGACTACACTTCAACACACGTGTTGACCTTGAACTGCATTGCCGATATGCTGTCAACAGATAGACCTATTATTTTGTATTTTGTATACAAAACCAAATATCGTACGCCATGCTGCCTCTGGTAATGTTACATTTTTAGTGTGAGTAAGATCTAAAATGCAGCAGTAGCATGTTTGCCAAAACTGGGACCTCTTCATGACTGTCTTATTCAACATGTAACTGAATGGACTTTAATAGGGTCATAAAGTTAAGGTTAGATATAGGACTCTCTGGTTTGTTCACATAGCTGTTCTGCTCTGTGTGCAGAGTGAGTAGCGCGACTAAAACTGTTTTTTTTTATCATCTACATCACTGAATGAAGGATTTATTTGGACCAAACCAGAGTTGATTATTTTTGAAACAGTGGAAGGAGCCATCCACACCAAAAATGAAAACTGTGACCATTACTATAAATATATTATATATATAACAGTTCAAACTCACTACAACTATAATGACAAAGACAGGGGCTAATTATATCGCTTGGATCAAATTCATGCTGATTTGATTTGTGGTACACAACTTATTAAACACTTATGTAATGTAATATCAGGATAAAAATACACATAAAAACACATCATTGTATCGGACATACTGCCAAATGTTCTTTAGTGCTGCCAAAAACTACTACAACAGTGACTTCGACTTTTTTTAAATTGTGAGGTGTTTTTTTAGGGTTTATATCTTCAGTGGGAACCAGTGGGTTTGGGCTGAGATAAATACAGAGTAGGGAAGTCAAAAAGTACTAAAAGATGGGCTAACACATTGTTGGCTTTTCATTACAAAGAGAAACATAGAGCCATCCACTTAAATTCAGAATGTCAAAATCTCAATTTCCCATCTCTCCGTGTAACACGCAGCTGGTGATGACCTTGTAGACAGCTGTACTGGAAACCTGAACAACACACACCACACTTATCTTATTCATATGACTTACATTTTATTACAGGTGCTTTCATATTTGCTTAACAGTGGCATACTTTAGATTACACTTGGAAATGTCAGCACCAGCGGCAGTACCACATTGCCTGTTTTCCAACTGATATTCAAATATATGCTTCACTTGATTAAAATCAGTCAATTCAGATTAAAATCAGATAGATAACCCTGGAATATGCAATGGTTGGTTGGTTTTTGTTGCAAATCAAAATCAACGATGACAACAGCACATCATCTCCACACAGCTCTTCACAGGATGTTATGATAATCCAAAGGGGGATTTCTTGTTTTTGTACATCTCTGGATAAAGGTTACTCTATGTACATGTATGGCACTTGATGACATGAAAACAAGAAACATCACGAATGAAAGAAATGGGCGCTTGGGTGTACCAGAAAAAAACACAAACAAACAAACAAACAAACAAACAAAAAACAAAAAAACTGGTGACAGGTTTCCAGGTGCCACCTTCCTCCAGCTAATGCAAAGGAGTAATCAGTTAGGTTAAGGTCAGTGGTGTGAATATAGGCATTCAAAACAATGAAATTCCTAAGAAATAGATATTTGAGATGAAAGATATACTGTCGGGATGTGTAATGTAATGTCGAAAAAATAGCCGTGCCCTTTCAACTGCCAGCGATTGTGTATAAAAGTGGTGTTTGGAACCATTGGAATGTCAGAGCTGATACGTGTGTTTATCTGACTTATTAGTGTAACAATATACTCAGTGTCCACATGGACATCAAACTACTAAAATCTGATACACGACATGTTTTGCAAGGTTCCAACTTAAAGAAGACCCCACCAATTTTACACATGAAAATTTGTTTACCCATCACAAGGAATTCTATGTCAGTGAAATGACTGCAATTACCCATTTATAACTTTTAAATACCATTTGCATCAATATGTAAGGTGCCGATGACATAGAGATTAATCACTACAGTCACGGCTGCTTCAAAAAGGCCTTGGCAAAAATTGTTGGTGCAACTGTGGAGCGAGGCAGTGTGCACATTCGGGCAATCAAATATGATTACCAGAAAGATTTACTGAAGCAGACGTCGAGCTCTAGACTTTATTTCAGAAAGATGGATAACTGAGTTAACCCACCACTACACCCCTGCTCTGTAGCTCTCTCACAGGCAAACAGCTAGCTAACCTATTTACCGGCATCGAAAACCGCAACAGGAAGGAAGTGGTAAAGTACTAAAGCTGAGCTGTCTGGGTCAAGTGTGACATTGATGAATGGTGCAACTCTGTGCCTTGCATTACAAAGTTTCAAATATTTAAACTTTTATGCACATCTAAAAAACACTAGAAAACCAAAACACGTGGCACAAGTGCAAGTTGAAGATAAGTCCATAGGAAAACGTGCAGGCAACGTGTTTCTAGCAATGTGTCAATGTGTGATTGGCCCCCAAGTTAGGGGTCTCCAACGTGGCGCCCACGGGCACCTGATAGCCTGTGGGTGGTCTATGAGGTGCTTAGAGCATGTTCCGTAATCTCAATCTTAATCCTGAATTTTTTGTACATTACTGATATGTTTTTATAAATCAAGATATGCTTTTATAATAAATAATATTTAAAATATAATAAAAATATATATTGAGAACAGACTTTATTACATGTTCTGAGCTGAAACCATGCTTCACTATTCTGCCCTTCTGCATTTGCCTTTGGTCCATTCTCTCTCCTTAAGTAGCCCTCACTCTAAAAAAAAAGGCTGGAGACCCCTGGTCTAAGTTGTGGCTGTGACTGGGAAACTCTAGGAAACTGGAATTTTCTGAAAATGACTTGCTGCTCAAGGATGTATTTATTATTTATGGCCGAAATGTCGAGGAATGTCCACATACATTTGACCATGCAGTGTATCAGTTTATGCTTCCCCTCAGTAATTAGACAAACATGTGTGGTCCATCTGTCTCTCTCCATTAAAGACACATAAAATCAAAACCCTGCCAAATTCAACATGATGTCATCCAGATAAATGTTCTGTCTTGTGGAAAATGTCCAGTCTTGATGAAGTCTTTGTTTCCGAGAAACAGAAGATCTTTAAAACATGTTGACTCACCTTAGTTTCACAGTGTTTTATTTGATTAATTTGAAGACTAAATACTAATAAATGACTTGTTACGCTGATCTTGATAACTAGTTTCTACACAGCTGTCCTGCAGCCTCCTCATGTGTGCAGTCCAGTATCACGCCAAAGTGTTTAATAAACCTGCCGATCCACTAGAAGATACCGTGTTTTGTCTTGCCTAGGCCTAAACAAATAGTTTTGGTGTCCAAACCTAACCAAAATTGCGACTGTAACATGAAATGTTTGTCAACATGCTTTAATTTGGAAGTCTACCTGGACATTACATACACTGTATTTTTTACATGGATACATGGAAATATTAATACAATTTAAAAAATAGCCTGTGGATTTACATGTCTAACGTAAATTAACATGAAAAATATGTAACTGTAAATAATCAGAAAATTAATGCTTATTTAAAGATTTTTATTATTTTTTTACAGTTCTGTAATTTTTAAAATTGAGATTAAAATAAGAAAATAATAATAATATCTGCACTCTTCTGTAGCAGCAGTGTTCACCTATATTTATAGGTAATTGAATTGTTTGATGTGTAAATAGCTTTAATTAAATATTAAACGTAAAATTAAATTAAAAATAAAACTGTAGATAAATTTTTTTTTGTGTCCAAGCTGCTGGAATATTACCGTTTCACGGATTGAGAACGTATTAACTTTACCTGCCTAGGTGAGGCAAAGTGTGACACTGCCCAGTGGACTAGTGGGTGTATTACATGCTCAGGCTTGATTCCAGGTTGATGTGTAACAGCAGTTACACATATGCAGAATCACTGGACTGAGTGCGCCCAAAGTTGGGCATACTCATCCTGGGCAAGTCTTTGTTCCGGATCTCATAAATGGACTTTCTCCTGGCCTGCACACCTCTCACAGCAGTTTTGATCTTCCTCCACCCAAGGTGGTTGAGCTCTGCCAAGTTCAGCACCACGCAGATGCCACTGACCGCAGACATGAAGACCAAAAAAACTGTCTTCTCTGTTGGCCTGGAAACATAGCACTCTACATCTTTTATGCAAGGGTATCGATCACACTCATACACTGCAGGGATGTTGAATCCATACAGGAAGTATTGACCCACCAGAAACCCTATCTCTAATGCATTTCTGAAGACCACCTGGATGATATAGAACCTGGAGATGCCCTCTTGCCTTCTCATTTTTGACTTTGTAGTTCGCAGGGCTGAGTTGGGGATGTCCTTGAACTCCAAGCAGTCTGGCTCTGCCTCCTTGTTGGAGTTTTCCGTGTTCTGCAGCACTCCATTCACAATGGTGTTCTTGATCTTTTTGGCGTCATCTCTCTTCAAGGAATCTGGGTCTTTGTCCAGAGAGAGGTACACTGTGGAGTAGCGCCGCTCCTTCTGCTTGGCAGACTGGTGCACAGAGTAGGTGATAAAGCAGAGGCTGGGGCAACACACCATGATGATCTGGAACACCCAATACCTGATGTGTGAGATGGGGAAAGCCTTATCGTAGCAGGCCTGGTTGCAGCCCGGCTGTAAGGTGTTACACACGAACATGGACTGCTCATCGTTGTACACAGTCTCTCCAACAATCGCCACGATCAGAATCCGGAAAATCACCACCACAGTCAGTAAGATCCTGAGGGAAAATCAGCAACAGAAAAACGTTAACAATTTAAGTGGCTGTGTTATAGTTAGTTATAGGTTCTAGCCAAAAGGTCAAACCCAGGTTTTGTGTGGGGCCAGTCTTTGTCTGGGTTGACTAGTGTAAGGAGGTGTGGTGCTGTGTTTGTGATTGACCCCCTGTTTACCCATGTTGGGGCTGTTTTGTGTTAACGGGTTTAATGAATGAAAAACTGCAGCCGGCTGTTACATTTACTTTTCTCCTTACCATTATTCAAAGCATACCAGAATAATTTAAATGTTACATGTTTTTTCTACCCTCCAGGCAGCATTGGTTTAAAAAAAAAATCTATAAGAAAGAGAATTAAAACCTGTATTAAACAGAGACTGTAAAAGTAAATTTACATTACATTTAAAATCTGTTTTTATTACAATCTGACACTTGTTTCTATATAAAAAAAGAAATGTAAGAAAAGAAACTGCACCAGAAATCTATGATCTATCCTGAGCAATGCGTAATAAACCATTAAGGGATAGACCGGTTATCGGCCTTCCAATTATCTGTACAATTTTTTTTTATCCACTTGCCAATAAAATAAATTAATTTAAAAATGTGCTACTTTGGGTCTGATGCAGTTGCCTGTCTGTATACTTGCTCAATGTTCCGCCCACAGCACTATGTGGTTGATTAAACATCATGAGGATTAGTAGAGTAATTATGTTTTTAAAGTGTTGAAAAGTTTTCTTTTGCAGCATATAAGGTTAAATACTCTTTCACACAAATAAAAAAAGCAATACCACAAAATAATACAACTTGTTCAAAGTAAAAGCCCTGCATTTGAAATCTTTCTTACCTACTAAGGTACTAACAGTACTAAATACAAAAGTATTAGTATCAAAATATACTTAAACAGAAGCATTTCCAGACTTTTTGATTGGGGTGGCACAAGTTTGGCACTGACTTATACAGTGGTTGTATGAAGTATGTGTCTCAGTTTTCCAGTCATTCCCAATTCATCAAATTCTAGTACTGTTCCTGGACCCCAGTATGCAGAAATATCCAATACACTAGGTGGAAATAACACATTTCTACCTCATGCAAATAACTGCATTGGGTTAGCATAAAGTGGGCATGTTTACAAAGGGGAGACTCATGGGTACACATAGAACTCATTTTTAATTCAGATATCTTGAGGTCAAAGGTCGAGGGATCCCTTGGAAAATGGCCATGCCAGTGTTTTCATCACCAAGATTTAGCATAACTTTGGAGCAGCTATTCAGCTCATGCTAGCGTGATATAGATGGTACAAATGGATGCGTGATCTAGTTTCATATATCAGATAGCTTTAAAAGAGAGCCCACTACAGCCTCTGAAAGACAGTTCCAGTGGAAGAGGTAAAAATAAGTGGGTCATAATCAGATTTCATAATAATAATATTCATACATTCATAATAATGTGTTTCTGCAAAGTAACTAAAGTTATCAAATAAATTTAGTGGAGTAAAAAGTACAATATCTGCCTCCAAAAGTTTGTGAAAGTATAAGTAGCAAAAAATTGAAATACAAATACCTCACAATTGTACTTACGTAGTACCTGATTAAACATACTTAGTTACATTCCACCACTGATTACTACACATTTTGACACTGAGATTTTAATTTTTACTGCAAATGTATATTGGCTCCAAATATCTGTTATGGTTGCATTGATTACTAATAATCTGTATTGGCCCTGAAAAAATAAATATGAAATATTCATGGGGTGTTCAGAGTGTTGCAGAAATATATGCTGATTTAATCACAAACAATCACATACATGTATATATATATATATATATATTTATATATATATACATGAAGATTGTTTAACAAAAAAATTACATTACATCATTGTGACACATAAAACACTGGATAGAAATGGCGGCATTAGAAACGAATACATTGTTTTATTTTTAAATCTTCTTTAAATGTTAACTGTCATTTAAAAATGAATCTAAATTAATGTCTTAAATTTGACATTTGACACCACTGTGGGGGCAGCAGGGTTGGCAGCCCATCTCACCCCTCCAGATCCAGGTTTTGAAGAATCCATTTGGTTTTCAGTTTATTCATAGACAGTTTAACAAGGTAAATGGATTATTAACACTGTATTATTAATGACTAATCTCTGAGTCATTAATGATGCTTCATCCATTAATAAAGGCACTGATTATAAACCCTTTGGAAAGCGCTGGCAGTGTTTCCACAGGCAGACCATCAGGTAGGTACTAGGGGAGGTTATGTTACCATGGTACTGTTACTGGAGCTGTCCAGTGCTGAAATAAGCGCTCTCTTCCAGCCCCAGTCTCCCGTGGTGGTCTAATTCATCATAATGTAAATACTAATTCATTTCCCTTAACATTAAACTCATGAATGTTTGGTTTGGATACCCAACTGGCTTTTCGGGATTCTTCTTCAGGACGTTGTGTGTGCTTCCTCCCAGCTGTATACTCTGTTGACACTGTGCTGAATTCTGACCTCGACTCTAAATATCTTTGTCAATAAGAGAGGACGACACGTTTCTTTTCCTCTGTCTTTTCCACAACTCTTACCTTCCGATCATAGTGGAGTGCTGCTGGACAGCCGCCTCCAAGAGACGCTCTAATATGGTCCACTCCCCCATGATAGTTCATTCGGATCACACGCTGTGCGGAAAGAAAGCGGAGGATCTTATTATTCCCCTTCTAAGAGTCCGAGAGCTCCATATCCAGTGAATGCATGGATGTGTGTGTGTGTGTGTCCCGCTGTGCAGCAGCTGTGTGGACAGCCTGAGCGCTCCTCTCCTCCCCGCTCTCCAGGCGCTGATTGGTAGAGAGCCCTTCTCTCCTGAGCGCCTGTGTCGGGTCGTGTGAGCACGGAAGGCGGGTTGAGTGTGACTGAGCGCAATGTGGAGCTCAGTGTGGCGCTCAATGCTAATCCCGCTTTAAGTAGACTTCTTTGCGTCACACGCACAACGGTTGGTGTGTTGGAGAGGCCGGGGACGCACGCCCGGTTAGAGTAGCATATCCACCCATCGAACGCTGCCCTGTGCTGCAAATAGTGGCACACTCAACAAGTGTTTTTTATCTCATATCCGCACACACAGCTTGTGATGGTTCTGAATATTAATAATATCAGTAGTTACAGTACAAATATTATTTTCTTGCTTAAAAATTAATGACTTATTATTATTAATAATTGTATTATTTTTGCGGGGCATCAGGCCATTCTTTTGTCACATACCCAAAAGAAATTCTCTATTGCTATTTCTCTCTCCTCTGTACACATCAGCACATGCAAATTGCGCTACAACATTATAGAAAAGTACCAGCAACAATTTGCAACACCATGTACCAAAAGCTCACATCGACGGCCTTTCTGTGATGCAAACAGGTTAATCACCATGTCATTAAAGACCGCTCAATGGATAGCATAGCCAGTGCGTTTAGCCTGTCCTGTCCCATTGTAGGGAAACTGATGTAGATCTCCCATCATCCTCCAGCCCTGCCTCTATCACAGAGGGCGGGTTTGTTGGAGTTCCCTCAAAGGGGTGGTTCCCTTTACAACCGCACAATATACCGGGGGGGGGCGTCCTCCAGATTGAGGTCAGCAAGCAGTACCAAATCCACTAGTAAACTAGCTTGTAATGGTTGTATTCCACAGCTTCCCCCTCCCGTGCAGGTGTCGGACGGTTTTTCAGTGCCTGAGTGCTGTCTGCAAGTCCTTCTCCATGACTTTTGCGGACTCCTCCCACATCCGCTGTTTTGCTTCCCTCACAGCTGCGGCTGCAGTCCTTCGGGCCTGTCGGTACCCTGCAACTGCCTCGGGAGTCCCCCGGGATAACATATATATTGAGGCATCCAAGACCTTAAGACCACAGCTCACAGCCGCAGCTTCAGCAATAGAAGCTTTGAACACCAACCACTCTGGTTCGATGTCCCCAGCCTCCACAGGGATGCCGGAGAAGCTCCGCCGGAGGTGGGAGTTGAAGGTCTCTCGGACAGGGGCCTCCTCCAGACGTTCCCAGTTCACCCGTACTACATGTTTGGGCTTACCAGCTGACCAAACAGTACCACCATGAGCAAGCACTTGGCGACGGAGGCAAGGAAAAACTGCCTTTTTAAGAGACAGAAACCTCGGACAGATCCTTCGGCTCTAGGTGGGTGGTCGTCTGCTACAGGTCCCTAACAGCCTAACACATATTTATACTGTCCTACTGTATATATCTATAGTGCATTCACTTGCCTCCGTCTATACTATACATATCTACCTATAGTGTATTAATATCTACCTATCTGTATATAATGTCAACCAATTTAATTACTTGTACTTACATCTGCACTATATAATTTACTGCTAATCTGTTCATACTGTAAATATCTTAATTTATTAGCTGTATATATCTTAGTGTATTCACTTCACTCCGTTCATTCTGTTAATGCTGTTCATACTGTATATATCCTGCTAGTATATTCATATATGTCTATAATTTTATTTTTTAATATATCCCTAGCACATTACTCTGCACTTTACTGCTTTTTGCACTTCTGGTTAGATGCTTAGCTGCATTTCGTTGTCTTAGTACTTGTACTTTGTGCAATGACAATAAAGTTTAATCTAATCTAATTTAATCTAATCTAATCTAATCTTTTAATGGGATAGATTCCGGGAGGAATTCTCTCATGGCCTTAATCATAACCATAACCTAATCTTTACTTGGTGAGATACACAACTTGCAGATTGGTAAGAAAGGGCAACTAGATCTTTCTCCCTTCTTAGATCAAAGATTACAAAGGATATCTATCTAGACAACTTTTCAATGGCTGAGAACATGTTCTGGCAGAAGCCACTGGAACACCTGGATGAGAAGCACAGGCAATAAAGTGAGAGATTTCACTTATTACTGTGATGGAAATAACTTTTTCAATGCAGAGCCTAACAATAGCTGGCCAAGTGATATGGGCAGAAAGTAAGACTGTTCAAAGCCACAATGACACAATATATCACACTGTAGGCTGTACCACTTTGTGTACACATTTATCAAGTTGAATCAAATTCCTCCCAACATTATGTCCTGCCTGCTTTTCTTGTACCACTAGGAAATATATCACGATACGGAAGCTAAATGCTCTCAAAATGCTGTTTAACCTGGACTTTACATTGCCATTTTTCTCCAATAGCCCAGAATTGACAAACCAAACACTGTCTGTAAATAGGGCCTTTCACATTTTTTGCATGTTTTGAGGCCACCCTAGTTTCTCCTTTACACTTGGAAGGGGAGAGTGAAGTAAGGTAGTTGCGATCTGCAACTATGGCCCTAGATGCCACAAAATAATACATGTGACCTTTAATACAAACTATGAAGATCAGTCTATTCCCATGCGTTTTTAACCATCCATTTACCCATCAGCCCTACAAGGCTGTTGTCAAGTATAATTATAAGTATAATAGTTTTGTTTCAAATGCTACTTTCAGTCATGTTAGACTTACACTTTTCTCACAATTCCTCTTAAACTGAGTGTTCCTCCATTTAGTGCAGAGAACCCTGCAGGATATGTGAGCATGTGTTTTTAAAAGAGCCACAACAGCCACAGATGAATGAATTTGACACAAAGATATAAATATTGGATGCTCTTTTTCAGTGAACAGAACTGCATAATTTATAGCCCATTTCAGCATTGGTGTATCCTTAAATGTTTTTTGTGACAGAACAGCAACCTGCCCAATGTTTGATATTCAAAGCTAATGTACACATAGATCCCACAATCTTCTATCTACCAAACTTCCATGGTGGTTGGCTGTTCTATAGGTATTTAGGAACATGTGTCCTGAATATGTGACACTGCCATTGCAATCAGATGGCACATTTGGGGTTCAGTATCTTACTCAAGGACACTTTGACATGCAGTGGGAGGAGCCAGAGATCAAACTGCCAACCTTCTGATTAGTGGATGACCCACTCTACTTTCTGAGCCACAGCCAGCCACTGTGATGGGCAGTTATTGTCGGAAACAGCAGAAAGCCTCACACAAAGATCAATAAAAAAGTTCTTTAGTGAATGCAGAAATCACCATTGGAGGATCCACTATTAGCATTTTAGCATTTAGCATGTAGCCAGACCCAGCACCCAGCACCTGTTGGTTGCGCAATATCATGGGTGTGTTTGATTTGGGTCATTTAGTGTGCTTGCTGGGTGGTGCATTAAACCACTGATTAATTACCTTTTTTACTATTAATAATTATTCATAATTATTTAATTGCTATTTTTGAGGCGAGATAATGCATAACCCATAATGGCGTCATATTTCATTTTATTGCACTGATCAGCATCAGTATCAGGTTTATGGCCAAGTAGGTGTTTACATACCATGAATTTGCCTTGGTATATTGATGCATAACAATAAACATCAAGAAGAAGTCAAGAAGCATGAATAGAAAATAGAAAAATTACCCACTATGTACTGTTCACTAACTGCAACCACACCACTCTGCCACTTGGCCAGTTAATGTGCACATTCAAGTGTCTCCTCTCTGGACATAGAGCTCTACGGAGCTCTTCCCTCCTGCAGCCAGCAACTAATTCTTCTCTGCTGCAGCTGCTGATTTGGCTCCTTTCTTCTGTTTCATTCTCACGTGGTTGATCATTGGACTTTTTCATGTCACTTTTGTTTTTAGTCTGTAACAGGTATGACTTGGAATGTAGTGAATTATTTAAAAAGTAAAATGACTTACTTAAATAAGTACACAAAAAGACATACAGGGGAATGGCCACACGGCAGCTGGTGCCAAGCCAAGGTCACACATAGCAGTTCACTAGATAGTGTATTCCACTGGGGCCAAGGTGCTTCCAGGGAATGGCCACACGGTGGCTGGTGCCAAGGCCCACACATAGAAGATTGTTTCACTGATAGC